GAGAGGCAAGGGCCATGTACTAGATGCAATCTCATAGGTCATGCTTCCTGGTCACATGAATCCACATGCAGATGTCTTTCCTGATAACCCAGGTGCCTTCACACTCACAAAATGTGACAGTAGAAGTCTAAGCATCAGAGGTGTCAAGTTGTGTACATTACTTTTGAAAATTTAATAAGCCACAAGTGATTAATTTTCAACCCTTGAGAAGGAAAGGGCTATTATTGAAAATTTACCATGCTAAATCCTTGTCTATTCACAGGGAAAGGGTTGAGGGTGGGGCTGCATGCTGCTCTCATTGTGCCCTCCTAACCCTAACACTAACCCTAACCCTAAACCTCCTGCTAGGATTTTTTGATAAGTCTGGATTCCCCTGAGATGTAGGGTAAAGTTCGGTGACATAGTTGGATATTTTATAAAAGTCATAATGCCGGAGACAACTAACTGTGCCAGTTAAATGACCGTTTATATATGTGCTGTTAAACAGACAATTGTATCCTCAATAGTGAGCTTCATTGTCATGAAGATGAATTGCAAAATAAATGAGCACACTCTCACAATTCCAAAGTCATTTTAGGATGTGTAAAAATCTCATTAGGATTTATTTAAAAAGTTAACATAAGTAAATTTTAATATACATTTTAGCATTGGCTATGATTAAAATAACTGTTAGGACCTTGCCAGGCATGTGTAAACTACTGTCTTATATCTAGAGTCATGTGATAAATGAATAAATTGTTGAATACCTTAGTTCTATACCTTATAATGATAATAGTTGGATTTTATGATAGAAATTTAAATAGTGGAAGGTGAAATAATGCTGTAAAGGACAACTTGCAAAGTTACTGGCTATTAAGCACACAAACTGATCTCTTTGACTTAGGAAATTCACTTGTACATGCAATTTTTTAAAAACTGGGGTTCAAACTCAAAATTCTACATTTTCAGGCAGACACTGTGCTGCTAAGCAATATTCCATGAATTGTAAAAGAAATTTTTTTCTGAGTGCAGAGACAGAAGCACCATTGGTCATGTAGCTATTCTAATTCATTGTCAGTTACTGAACTTTGTTGAAGAGGACAAGTTAAATGACACAGTTTGTGATTTTTTATAGCTCATTCAAATATGGTTTTTACATTTTTGAAATTATGTCAGTGTGAATTGCATGTGGTATGTGCTCATAATTTCAATCCACTTGTTTATACCTGCTCCATTTTTAGATGGCACATATCTGTATTTCAATCCAGAGATGTTGTCTGTGGTACATTATCTTATAAATTTTATTAATGTTTGATGAAACTTTAATGTTTCCACCATATACACTGTTATTTGAAAGTGGATACATTTGTATGAATTCCAACTGATTCTCTGTTAATTTTATTTTGTTTCTTGTGTCTTTTCTGTGTCCACTGACATCATTATAGGATGTTTTTCTCTAGATTTTAATGTGTTTAATTATATTAATTACTCAATAACACCACTAATACTTTTGAGAGTTTATTCTCTATTGTCCTTTAGAATATGCACAAATATAGAGCAATGAAATATCCTGTTTTCTGTAGAGTAATTAACATTTTCATATTTCAGCAGTTACCTCTACTTCTCTCTGGGAATTCAGCTCCCACAGGCTCAGGGATGGACCTGTTATGGGCACTGTTGGCCGTATTGTAAGACTTCGTAAGACTGCAATGCAGATTAATGCCATGTACTCAGCTCATAGTTCTGCCTTGTGTTCTGTAATGTTCTGAAACTGAAGTGTTCATTCTTTTCCAGTATCTTTACCCACTCTTGTTAATATGTTTTGAGGCACTGATTTTGAGTGACTGAAATAACTCAAAAAATGTACATTCATTGTCATAGATTATGAAATCCTTTATTTAAGCTGTTGATTTGAAGCATGTAATTTAAAATTTGTGGTTTGATCTCTCATTCTAAAAGTATTCTTCATTTGTTTCAGCTTTTCATTTCTAATTTCATTCCAGCATTGTGTAAGAGCTTTCTTTTCATGGCTTTGATTCCACTCCACTAACTATGTTATGTTCTGTACTGCTAGTCTCAACCTGGGCCACATGTGCAAACAGTTGACTTGTTTTGATGACTGTGTGCCATGTATTTCTGTGATAAAATATTCACTAGAATCCATCTGATATGGTGCTTTGATTTGTTATCATGTTGACTTGATGGTGACTTTAAATATTGCTCTGCCTTCCTGAGCTGGCAGTCACTGATAGATTTGTTAGGAATTCGTAAATATATTCTTATAAATGATTGATTTTTCTCTTCCAATCCTGTTTCTGTTTTGGTAGTTAGTTGCTCTTTGTAGTGGGATATGTATTAAGGAATGATATTAGTTTTTAAAGAAATGCAGATTGTACACATGGAATATAGTCAAACTAATGTAGCTTCAGTAGATTTGTTGAATCAGTGCCACCCAGGTATGTGTTTTTTCACAGCTTTCTGTTTAATCTATCCTCAGCAGTATCCACATAATAACTGCTGCTCTCCAGGTGGTATGAGTATTTGCCCATTATGTAGTTTTCTACCTATCCATCAGCTTTGCCACATGTTCTCTCCATTCCTTTTAATCTGACCTGTTCTCTTGATAATGTCACCTGCTCCCCTGATAGGCTGACCTGTTCTCCTTTTGGTGAATTTACCATTACACAACTGTTAGCTGTGAATTTATTGCACTGATATTGCCACTGTAGTTTGCTTAGCACTATTATGGATATTGTCTCATCAATTCATGTCTAAAGACAGGTAGGCAGATATAAAAGACTAAATACCTGAATTTCAATTTATTGTTTTAATCATTTAAAGAAAGCTTATTCTCAAAAGTTTTTGTTTAGATTTAGTGATAACAATGAAAGTGTCCCACATGTATTCAGAGTGTTTTACCATTGGATCTTAGGGAAGAAAGGAAAGTAACCATGTGATAAAATCCTTTCAGATCAGAAAGTTTTATTGCATTATTGATGACAACTCTTCTTTGGAAATTTTCCAAAATTTACAATGTGTGCTTTTTCATGGAGACTGTTTGTTGTCATTGTTGTTGTTGTTGTTTTGGATTTTTGTTTTTTTTTTTTTTTAGTTTCTTCATTTTTACTTTTCAGGAACTGCTTAAAAAGTGCGCAAAGAAATATTGTGTTAGGTTTTGTGGTATTTCTCAATGTAATCATTTTATACTTTTGTTCACCATGGCTGGTATGTGAATCAAGGCCAAAAATCAAGGCCTTTCTCATTTAGTCTTTTGGACACAGTTTCTGACTTTTTAATTTCTCTTGAAAAGAATCACATGTATTTCCAGGAATAATAGCACAAATTATTTTCTAGACATTATAAAGGAGTACCTTTTCTGTGGATTTTCATAAACTCCATAGTAAAGGTGTTTGTGGAATTTAGGAGTTAAGTGTTGATTTAGTAAATCTAAATACTTTGTTCTTACACACTTCAATATTTGGTGATTTTCATAAATGTGATTTAGATTTTGTTTTCTGTTCTGTATCTCTCCTGAGTCAATAAGTTTTTGATTACTTTTAGATTTGTGTTCATTCATCTTTACTCTGAATGTAAAATCTTTGTTATTTCCTTCCATAAATGTTTTCTTGTTTAATTCCCATTCTATAGATTTCAGTTTCTTCTAATTTCCTTGGCTGCTTGCATTTCTCCTCAGGAAACTTTTTCATTAACTCTGTGTTTTGTAGTATAAATTGCATAGTCATTCACATTTCTCTTTTCCATGTCAATGTACATAGGCAAGGAGATTGCATATTTCAGAATTCTAGGACATACCTGTTTCTCTCTGAATGTAAATGAAATGTATTGTGCTTTCTTCTTGAGAGGCACAGCATGAGCTGAATTGTGCAAAAATATTCTGCTTCCATTTGGATGCATTGAAAGTTGTCACCCTTTCCTGAGATCCATTTGTCCAGTGATATGAATGTTGAACTTTGAATGTTTTTCATGTTTATTATGCAAAATATTTCCTTGCTCAAATGTATTGAACATTTGTAGGCTTTTTTTTTTCTAACTTTCATCTATAATTGTTGAAAAAATCAAAGGTGTGTTTAGTTTGGTTATTTGGGGTTGGAAATTGAACTCAGGGCCTTGCACATATCAGTCAGTTGCTCATACCACCGAGATGTATCCCTGGTACAAGGCTGTGATTGATACATTACTGAATTAATTTTAATTTTTATTTGGTGATGGAGCTTGATGCATTGCCTCACTCTGTAGTCTGAACTGTCCTTATTACATAGCCCAGACTGGACACTACACACGGCATTGCTGAAATTCCTGGTAATCCTCTTACACCAACCTCTCAAGTCCAGGGAGAACAGGCCTGTGCCACCCCAGTGGGCTGAACTCTTCCTTCTGTATTTAGTGACCAGTTACTTTGCTAAACCTCCATTTTCATTGCACTTCCAAAATCTTTTTTCCCACATTGTCTTCCTTTACACCCAAGTAGATTTTCTAGTATTCATGTACAAGGAGATAATTTGGTGTTCCTGGGTTATAAGATTATGACTAACTTTCCCTAATTTCCTTGTCTAAAGAATGGTTAAATAAACCTTTATTTTCATTAAATTTTAGTACTTCATAGACCTCCTTTCATATTCAACTAAATATTTATCTAGGAAAACATTTTGAAGAGTGTAAATGCATCTAGAAAGAAAGATGAACTCAGTGTTATGAATAACTAGGTGTTTTGTCAATGTGCATTTGAAGGGTCCCTCTTTGAGCTCTTCTTTAAAGTCAGTAAAAATTAAAATATAAGCAGCTCTGCAAGTTAAGCCATGCCACATTTCTGTGGTGCTTTGCAATTGTGTTATAGTTTGGCATCAGTGTTACTGAGTGACAATATTTGAATGCACTTGTGTTTTGATGACCTTGACATTGCAGTCAATTCTTGAAAGAATGTCCTTCAATTAGACATTTTATAAGTGAAGCTGAGATATATTAGTTATGTTTTTAACCTTGAGCACTCTTGTTATTATGTAGGAGACAGTGAACTTTGAGAATGTAGCTGTGAAGTTCACCCTAGAAGAGTGGAATTTGTTGTCTCCATTCCAAAAGAAGCTCTACAGAGATGTGATGAGGAAAACATATATGAATATTACTGCAGTAGGTAAGTATGATGTTTTATTTATTTGTACAAAGAGCATTAGTAATTCCTCAGTATTTGAGCATGAATATTGCAACAAGGGAACTTGAAGGAATGAAATCATGTTACACTTTATTTAAACTTAGAAAAATATCAAGAGATGCACTTGTTTTTATTTTGTTTTATTTGGGAATCCATAGAAAAGCATTTGAACATAGGAATCAGAGGTAGTGCTGATACTATATAACAAAAAACACTAATATATCAGTTTGAAAATTTCCTTCCTGATCAACATCACAGGAATGTATGAGAGAAATATAATATCATATTCTAATATGTAGGAAATGAAGATAATTGTGAATTTTGATAGAAACTCATCTTCAAAGTGACCATTTATGTATTCATGTGAATACTGAGGCTGTCATGATGCAAAAAAATGTTTTACATAGATTGAATTTTCAAAATGCAAATGAATGTTACTGTTTACAATAAGTATTTTGAAAATGTCCTATAAAATGTTTAGCTTTTCCTGCTTAAATTTCCTCATACATTGTTGATTTATACATAAAATAGAAACATAGTAATAAATATTCAGAGATCTCAAAGTTAAAATAATATGTTTCATATTTTTTAACATGTACATTCATCAGTTTTTGTTTTGTACTTTTGAGCCATGATTTTGTACTGTAGCTCAGGTTGACTTTAAACTTACAGTGTATCTCATACTGGTCAGAGCGTCCTCCTGCCTCTACCTCGTGACCTTTGAGTGAGTTGTACTGTGTCATTATGTACATTGGTTTTCAGTATATTGTCAAAAATATTAAAATCATCAAATGTTAGTGATCCACACAGTGTGTTATTTAATGCAGCACATGAAAGGACATTTACAATCTCTGATATAAGAATAAATTTATAGGGGAGTTTCACAAATGGCAGCTTCCTAGAGGATTTGAGGGAGAGTTTCATATTAAATACTAGAACATGACAACATAGAGCGGGCCAGACAAATCGATAATGATTCTTATTAACCAAGGAAGTAACTGAAGGGAAAAATGAAACTGGGAAAAGGAAAGAAAAGCATGGATGGAGAGCTGAAGCCCAATGTACTCATGGAGCCCTGTTCCACACTGTACTCGGCATGGCTAGAGGATTTAAGGTTGTGCCATGACCATGGCTGCCGATAATGGGAGTCTGCAAACCCTGCACCATTAACGTGGCACACTGACCAGTGGATCCAAGAGGAAAAGCTGTATTGGCTTTTGGAGACTGTTGGAAATTGATAACCAGGACCCTGCAAAGCAGCCAGGGCCAGCTGGCTGTGCCGGAGAAGACTGCAAGAAGCTTCAGAGCTCTGAAGCCAGACACCGTATAGTTTTCTGACTGATCCATGCTGTACCGGGGTATGCAGTGAAGACAAGTGGTGCAATTTGCGTTGGACTCAGGAGAAAGATCTGCACTGAGTCCCGGTGAGTACTAAGGACTGGGTCCCACAGCTGCTGTTGCTGGTTGAGGACATCTTGGAATTGGGCAGAGCCTGCCACCATGGCGGCATCAGTAACACAGAGAGGTCTGGTGGAGGACATCTTGGAGTTGGGCAGAGCTGGCACCGTGGTGACATCAGATAGTCATCCCTGGTGCAGAGAGGTCTGGTGGAGGACATTTTAAAATTGGGCAGAGCCCTGCACCATGACATCGTCAGTGACACAGAGAGGACTGGTGGAGGACATCTTGGAATTGAGCAGACCCAGCGCTGCAGTGACATTAGATAGTTGTTCCTGGCACAGAGTGGTATGGTAGAGGACAGCTGGGATTTGGGCAGAGCCCTGTGCTATGGTGACATTAGTCAGCTGCTTCTGGCACAGAGAGAACTGGCAGGATCTGCTAGGGCTGAACCATGCCTCTGGTTGGGACCCAATAAGCAGATACAAAATTGTTGTGACTGTGATGTCCACAAGGTACAGCCTAACTTGCAGATTGACTGGCACAGAGGCAGGAAGCTAGTCTGCATCATCCTTGCATCCCTGCCTACCTCATAGAACAGCAAATTGGGGAGGGCAGCAAAACTGAAGTCAGCATGCTTCGGAAAGTCCCTAAGCAATATAGAGGGGGTCAGAGACCCACAGGACACTCCAGTCTGAAAGAAACCAGAAACAAGACAAGAGATAGAAATAAAAAAATCTTGTTGCTGTATGTGAGAAAATAAGCCCAGGAGAAGTAAACACAGAAGAGAACCACCACAAAAATCATTCAATACTAGACACAGCATCAGCTGAAATAAAGAAATACCTTCATGACCTCATAGATTAATTGAAAACTGTACTTCTGATCCAAGTGAAGCAAGATATAAAGAGATTAATTAAATGATAAGCCCCACCCAAGGAAACACAGATGGAAGAACGTGGGAAATCAGAAAGAGAAACTTCAGAAGAAGAATTTAAACACATCCTAGAATACATGAAACAGATCCAAAGATATTACCACAAAACTAAAAACACCATTGATCACTGGCAAAATACCTTGACAGAAATTAAAGTTAGCCTTTTGAAACTTGAAGAAAGATTTATGATATATGATCATGTAAGAAAATACCCCTTAAAAATAATGAGGAATCAGAAAGAAACAATTCAAAGGCTAGAAGGTGACAAAAGGATACATAACTTAAGAAAAAGCATATGAGCGAGGAAGCAGGAGCAGCCAAAAATGAAATACAAAGAATACTCACACAAATATTAAAGGAAAACTTCCCAAGTATAGGAAAAATAAATGATATCCAGATATATGAGGCATACAGAGCTGCAGCTACTTACAACCAAAACAGATATACACCCAGACATACAATAATCAAGATTCCAGAAATCCACCAAAAGAACAGAATACTAACAGCAGCCAGGGAAAAGAACCAGATAATCTACAATGGGAAAATTATCAAAATAATAGATTTATCAACACAAACTCTCAAATCAAGAAAGGACTGGGGAGAAATATCCCAAGCCCTGAAAGAAAATAATTTGCAACCAACACTGATACACCCAGAAAAACTCTCTCTCAAAATTAATGGGGAAATAAGGTATTTCCAAGACAAGGAGAAACTGTGGGAGTTCATGGCCACCAACCCAACCCTATAGAGAGTGTTGAAGCACATTCTAGCCAGAGGATGGAATACCAGAATTCCAACAACAGTGGCAGAGAGGCCTCAATTAATGGGGTAGGCAGTGGAATGATGGAGTAAGGTGGACAAATTATAGCAGTAAAGTGGAGTAACAGACATGAGGCAGAGACAGTAAGCTATAAGCTTTAGTATAGGTAGCTTTGATACACTATATAAAAAAGACAGAGGTCATTTTTAATAGTGTATCAGGATTTAAAAGTCACAGTAGTCTTATCACTCTGTTTAGCTTGAATTAATTTGTCTCAGTATGTCCACTCATATCAGATTTGAGGGCACAGACATCTGACCCAAAAATAGCAGGTTATACCATGGTAACTATTCTTAATTTCCTATTACCTTAAACTGAAACCCTGTATTACTTACATTGTCTTACTATGATGAATCTTATTTGAATCTGATTGGTTAGACTGTGGTTTCATCTTGACTGATTTTATTTGAATTTGGTATGCTTGATGTATCAACCGTAAAAGTAGAGGCAACTACTCTCTAGATGACAAGATGTAAAAGATATCCACACTGGTTTTGATTATTAACAGCTCTCAAGTCCTACAATGTTTTCAAATTGTGTTTTTAGAAAAATAGCTATGTAATACTCGCTTAACTATATTAAGCCTGATGATGTGGACAAGTCTATTGAAAATAACAAGAGCAGGAATAGTAACTATGGTAGATCACCTAATATTGTGGTCTTATGTGTTCTTTTCATTGCATGTTTTTCTAGGAATTTGTTTTGCTGTCTTGTTATGATTTGTCTTTCCCTGTAATACAGACAGGATAGATATACACATAGAAATTCACACATGGGAAGATTTTTTAAAACTATATGCAGGGACAGATTATATAATGCAAGATGTAATGAACAGATACTCTGAAGGAGAAGAGACACTAAGAAACACAATGTTAATTCTGTACCATTATGATATAAAATCTAGCAATACTATTATTCACTGTCCAGAGTGATATTAGTCTAGTCTCTTAACTTGAATTTCACCATATGTAAAGATCAGAACAGCTACAATCAAGAGAATGAGAGACACTATGGTAGTTATTATTGTCTTCCCCAATGTCAGATCTTGAAGATCTAAAAAGCCTTCATCATCTTTTAATGATTTGATTAGTTCTATAATATGCAGTATGTATTTAAAATGTGCAAAGATGGGGACAACTATTTGGTAAGAAACTAGGGACAATTAGATAAACAGTGAAGATTTCCAGTGGACTTGCTTTGAAATCTGTATTTCTTTTAATTGTTTATTTTTGAACTATTTTGTTCTGTTTTGATATGTTTAATCTTACCCTCTTTAAGATAAAAATCAAGTATGTAGGACTGATAACCATATTACTAAGTTTTTGTTAGATCATTGAGCAGAACTGTTGGCAGTGTCACTATTTGAATGTCACTTTACATACTTTAATTTTGTAACCTGGACAACTATTTTTAAGATAACAATATGTAAGTTATCAACTGGTGATTTCTAACCATTTATTTTTCTGTAATTCAGTATTATTTCTACCCCTTTTTTTCTCCATGTATTTTTCATTTCTTTCTCTTTAAATAATATTTTAAAGAAGAATAAATTTATAGTAGCTAAGCTATGGTATGGGCCCAGATGCCCATCACTGGTTGCCAAGGTAAAGAAAATGTGGAGTCAGCTCATAATGGTGGTATGTCCTTGCAATCCCAGCACTCTGGGAGGCTGAATCAGCAAGATTCCCACCTGATGCTCAGGCTGAGAAAGTTCATGGTCAATGAGAATCTTTCTCATAAAAAGAAATAATGCATCAGCAAATTTACTTCAGTCTAAGACCTGTGTTAAACTCTACACTGAAAAAAATATGCTATACAAGGAACCATATGGCTGTTTCCATTTCTCAAGGAAGAAAAATAGTTGGACTTAATTGAAAGAAATCAGACACAGTAATGGAAATATCACAGGTTTGCTCTTAAATGGGAAATTAATAGCATATAAGAGGAGTAAAAGTAAAGAGAGATAATATAAGACCAGAAATCCTTACTTTCTATAGAAAAGAAAAATGATCAGGCTAAATAGATGCTGGGGAGAATGAAGACATGAGGAGCTAAAAAAATGATAAGTATTTGGTAGTCATTTGTACCAATCTTTAAATGACATTATGTATCAAAATGGTATACCAATTTAAAATTTTCCAATGAAAACCATCCTCTTTAGAATGAATAGTACTTTGAAAGTAGTACTGCAGCACAGTGAGTCAGTTAACTGTCAGAATTACTTATGCATCAAACCAGAGTAGTCATCATAAATATCATTTGTTAATGAGGAGCTTTTCCCATTGTGATTGATATTTTTCTTTGTATTTTTTACAGATATGATGAAGACAATTGTATAAGATTTGAACAACAGCAATATAAATGTAATGAAGATGTAGAGACCTGCAGTGATTTCCAGTCCTTTCAGAAGCATGAAATGAGGAAGATTACAAAAATACCCTGTCAATATGGACAATATGAAGAGTCAGATGTGATCTTAGTGAACAAACTCACACTGGGCAGAAAATCTTTGTAGGTAAAAGTGTGAAAGCCCACAAAACACCTAACAGTGTTCAAATCAACAAGACACACCACAGTTTGGGAAACTCGTATGTACAAAAACACTATGAATATAGTTCTATTTCTTCACCAAATATTGAAAATCATGTTAGAAAATATGGTAGAGAGAAACATCATATAACTGAGAAATGTGCAAAAGCATTATCTCACAGTAATTTCTTTAAAAAATGTAAGAAACTTCACACTGGAAAGCAACCATGTGAATGCAAGAAATGTGGGAAAGCATTCAGTAAACACAGTAGCTGTCAAAGAAATAAAAACAGTCACACTGGGGAGAAACCCTATGCATGCAATAAATGTGGGAAAGCATTTAGTACAGCCTCTGCTTGCAAAGCACATGATAGAACTCACACTGGGGAGAAACACTTTGTATGTAAGCAATGTGGGAAATCTTTCAGTCAAAAAGTTAGCCTTATTACATGAAAGAATTCACACCGGAGAGAAACACTACGTATGCAACAAATGTGGGAATGCATTCAGTAAAGCCTCTGCTTGGAAAGCACATGATAGAACTCACACTGGAGAGAAACCCTTTGTATATAAGCAATGTGGGAAAACTTTCAATCAAAAGGACTGGCTTATTACACATGAATGGATTCACACAGGGGGAGAAACCCTATGTATGCAACAAATGTGGAAATGCATTCAGAAAAGCCTCTGCTTGTAAAGCACATGATAGAACTGACACCGGAGAGAAACCTTTTGTATGTAAGCAGTGTGGAAAAATCTTTCAATCAAAAATGTAGTTTTATTAGACATGAAAGAATTCATACTGGGGAGGAACCCTATGGATCCACCTAGTGTGGGAAAGCACTCAGAAGAGCCTCTTTTTTCAAAGCTCAAAAAAGAAATGACATGGGTGAAAAACACTTTTTATCTAACAAATGTGGGAAAGCATTTATTATAGTGACTAGTTGTAAATTACATGATAGAATTCACTGCAGAGAGAAACCCTATGTGTGTATACAGTATGGAAAATCTTTCAGACAAAGTGGTAACCTTAGTATACATGAAAGAATTCACACTGGGGAGAAACCCTTTGTATGTGAGCAGTGTTGCAAATCTCTCAGTCAGACTTCTACCCTTCTTCATGAAAAAACTCAAACTGGGTAGAAGCTGTATGGATACAACCATTATGGTAAAGCATTCAGTACGAAGAGGTGATACATAAACCCTAACTATCTATGTAAGCAATTTGGGATGTCTTTCAGCTATAGTAGTAGCTTTTGTGTATATAAACCATTCACTCTGTAGAAAAACCCTAGCTATATGATAAATGAGTAAGAAGATTTGTTGACAAATTTGCCCTTCATAAACATAAATGATCTCACACTGGGGAAAAAAAACCTATGAAAATAAGGGGCGTAGGAAAACTTTCCACAACTAGAGACATTGTTGCTACATGACAACTCCATCTGTGTAGTAATTCTATGCATTTCAACAGTGGTTGACAGCATTTAGTGCACAAAAATGCCATCGAATAGAGGAGTAATGCACACAAGGAAAAAACTATGTGTGTAGGCAGTGTGGAAAAGATATGTTGGTTGCAGTGTTTCCCTTTTCCAAACATAAGATTCCTTCACACTAGGGAGTAACTGCACATAAGAAATATTTGGAAAAAGTTGAGATGACATAGGTGCTTACTTTCTGAGTGATGTCGTATTGTGGCCTGAGCCTAGGTATGCAATGTGGGAAAGCATTCAGTATAAATGGTAATTGTCAATCCTGTGAAAATAATAATAAAATGAAATCATGTACATAAGTGACCATTTTGAAAATAATTCATAAATTACTCATGGAGAGGAGAGCTATAAAAAATAATATAAAATTAGTGCTGTAAATACATGTTCACTGATTTCTTTTGAAAACACCCTCCAGCACAGTTATCCAAAAATGTATTATTTCTTTTTTTACAAATCAAACAGAAATATCTGATCTGTTTTTGTAGTCTTAATAAAAAGTACTGTGTTTAAAGGAAATTTAAGTATGCTGAAACTTTTTTCCCATGTTTTTGATCCACCGTTATTTTGATTTATTGAATGACACCCAATTTTCTCATGACTGTTTTCCCTACCAGAATCTGTAAATCTTGTGTCAGTATACCCTGAATGATGGATACATTCATATACAATGTATATGTATATGTATATGCTTCTATTCATGGCCTGTATCTATGTAGCCATGCTTATCATAAGATATACCATTACAAAATCTAAAGCAGAGTCAGTCACTGTTAGAAATAAGAATGAACTTAAATTAGGGAAAAATCTTACGTGTGCAACAAATATGCAAAAATATTCAGTACACAAAAAGGTTCTAAAATACATGATAGAACTCTCAATAGAGAGAAATCTTATATAGTTAAACAATGTGGGAAGTCTTTTAGTCAATATTGTAACCCTGTACATGAAATGAGTTCTTTCCTCTGTTTCTTGCTCATCTCCGTTTTTGAATGATGTATGCTCCTACTTCCTATTACACATCATGTACTTTTATACAAATTTAAACTCCATCCATCTTGTATTACATCAGTCACTTATGAGTAGCAGAATCCCAAATATGCAAGTGAATCAGGATTTCACAGAAGTTCCTAAGGTTCAAAGGAAAATGAATGAAATATAATTCCCAGGATAGTAATGGTGTCATATCATGACACCAAAAAGAAAGTCACCAGTGTGCAATAAATAAGGGTGATAATCACAAGTATGCAAATTAAATACATGAGAATTATAGAAATACATTTTTTCTGTGAAACAGTCTTGCTATGAAGTTCAGGCTGGGCTTGGGCTCACTTTTAAATCGACTGATCTTGGGGTCACTTTGTATCTAGAATGATCTTAGGCTCACTTTGTAATTCACTCTGATCTTGAACTTGTTGCAATCCTTCCACCTTAGCCTTCCAAGTCCTGGGGTTACAGGCATGCACCACCATGCCTAGTTTGTAGCAATATATAGTTATTTGTGTAACTTTCCATGTTAATAATATATAACTCTCCCTATTCAAAATATACTTTAAGGTACTTGGCAATTCTGCACACTCAATCCTGAGGTTAAATATTGCTGACAAATTACTACAATATAGTTCCTACTTTTATTTCCTTATTTTAGAATTTTATCATGTTTTAAATGAAATGGTTCAGACGTAGGCAAGGTGGAGATTTCATATGATTTAAGCAATCTGGGAATTTGAGGCAAGAGAATTTCAACTTTGCAATTTAAACCCAAGCTTAGCTATTTGAAACATAGTGAAAACTTGTCTATAAATAAAAATGAGTGCTGGGGAGATAGATCAATATAAATGTCCTGGATTCCAGTATCATCCATGAAAAGTTAAAATAGGCCTTATTTCCTGATAGGGCAATAAAACCACTGGCCTCATCTCACACTCTGAGTAGACCTGGCCTGTTTTTACCATCCCACCTAAGAGTTTAGGAGTAATTTTCAGAATACATACACTCAAATCACCAGAATACAGTTTCCATCCTACTTACTGTATGTAGGTGTAAAATTGCAAAACATACAGTTATTCAACCCCTGCTATGTAAAGACAAGAGCAACCTCATTTTAAGTGCAGTAAGTCCTTGTGGAGCATTTCAGCACTCCATATGTCATCCAAGAATGGAACCCATCACTTTGCTAATCAATACACATTTTGGATCAATTCCCTCTGCCTTGAGTCTCAAATATTTGATCTTTCTTCACTAGCTATTTGGTGATTCAGGAAGGCTGTGTGCATTGTCAACTGGAAAGAGGCACAGGGATATCAGGACAATTCATTATGTGGAGTCTTCCTTTTATTTTTGCCACCATGTTTTGGACCCAGAGGCATGTGCTGAAGAAAAGCCTTAGAATTTGAGCCTGGCTTCTGGATGACTTCCTCAGAGAGCAGGAATCAAACACAGAAGCAAACAACCTAGAGGCTAGAAATGTAAGTGTGGGGCCAGGTATTCTGAGCTGGATAAGGATTGACTGTGTGTTATCTGATAAAGTTGGAATCTCATGAAATCTGTGAAGTTTGTGATCTGACCTCTGTACTAGCTTCAATCTGTGCCATGAGGCTTGACTGGCAGTGGAGACCCTATGGCCCTGTCCTTTTCCTGCTTCATCCTCAGCCTCATGCAAATTGGCACCCTTTCAGCAAATTCTCCTGCAGCTCTGTGTCCTGACATTCTGTATGGTGACTTCATCAGTACATGTGGAGTCTACAGGTTCATCTGCAGTTTCTACATAAAAAAGTATTTTTTTCTCCATGCCTAGTCACTCTTGTCTAAGATCTGTCCTGATTGCTCTGCATTTACTGAATATTTTGGAAACAAAAATGTCAAGTTCATGAACTGAATACACAACCAAGCATTTATAAGGTAGGAGTTAAATTTCTATTTTCTAGATCATTTCCACATGGACATATACAACATATGTGACTGGGTTTCCAGAGACTGTGGAGACTGTTTCCTTCTCTGACTCTATATGTGCCATGGAGTGCTTTTTAATGTTGTTTCACAAACATGAATACTGACTGAGTTAGAAAATAATTCAGTGGAAATAATACAGAAATTTGGAAATACACAGAATATGTACAGTAGTAGCATCTTTATCATAGGCAAAAATAAGCACAAAAGAAGAACACAATAGTGTAGGACATAGGGAATGATGGAGCATGGCAATATCAACTCTGGGATCAAGGAAGGTCTTCTTCAGGTCAGCCTTTCTAGGGTGAAAATAAACGCTGGGTCTTGACATGACTCATGATGAGAAGAGATCATAGTCCCTACATCTGAAGATCCAATGGAAATTTAGGGGATAAACTGCACATACCAA